TACAAGCCATGCACTTGCACACTTCCAAATGTTGCATGGTGCAAATCCCTGCATGGTCACACACCCATGTTCATTGCAAGTCCCGCTATACACTTCAACTCTGCAAGTCCACCATGCGCAACAAAGAAACAAACTGGGTCACCCACCGTTGTCGTTGGAAGCACCTGGGCGGGCAAATTCAAGAGGGAATGAAAACGAAGCGGTTGGGCTCCACATCAAGTTGACATAACAAGTCAAGCATGCCAGCTAACAAGTAAAACATGCACGCAAGTGGCGTCGCAGCAAGTGGCTTTCGCAATTTTGACACAAAAAATCACAACACCATCTCGCAAGCGATTCAATCCACATCCTCCACTTTCGGGCGCTGGTTCCCCTCGATCCACGTCAGCGCAGCCTCCCAGGCCTCCTCCGGCGACCGGGTCTTGAAGCTGAACTTGCGGTCTGACCGGTCGTTCTTGTGAGCGAATGCTCTGAAGCCACCGGAGTTGCGGTGCAGCTTCCCCTCCAAGAACATCACGGTGCTCTGGCCTTCCTCCATCATCGGCGGCCTCGCAGCCTTAGCCTCCACCGGCTTCCCGACTTGTTTGTTTTGTTTCACGACACTCTCCTTTGGCTCGACTTTTTTGTCTTTTTTCACGACACTCTTCTTCGGCTCGACTTTTTTGTCTTTTTTCACGACACTCTTCTTCGGCTTTGCCTTCGTGGAGGGCCTCTTTTTGGTAGGTGCATCTTGCCCATCACTGTCTTCCTCACTTTGCGCCGCCCTCTTGCGGCTCCGTGTCTGCAGAGCATTCTGCACGGCAACTGCTGCCGCGCTGGGTGTCAGTGGAGTCAGTGCACTTGCCGGTGGCTTCTCTGCAGGGGCTGACGCCGGTGGCTTCTCTGGAGGGGCTGACGCCGGTGGCTTCTCTGCAGGGGCTGACGTCGACGTATTCTGTGGAAGGGCTGACGTCTTGTCTGGAGTCTCCTTCAACTCTGAATCTTCTGGAACATCGCACAGCGCTTTCGGTGGGGTGTCACCCTCCACCTGGGTAGAGCTGCCGTTGCTTAGCCGCTTTTGCCGGGGTTTCACTATGTGAAAGTTCTGCAAATTATCAGCCCCATGGTTTCTTTGGCCTCCAAACAGAGCATCCTGCAGCATTTGGCCCAAGAACCGGAGTGCATCAGCGCCCTGCTGCGCCGGCTGTGCGGATGAGGACGACGATGCCTCTGCTCGCGAGCCTCTCAGGTAGATGTCGGCGTTCTGCCGATCGGTTCTCACCCTCCCTGCAGGAGGATCGTCCGCGTAGGCGTCCTTGAAGTTCACAAGCTCCTCAGGCGTCTGCGGGAGGGTTTGTAACACTGGAACTTTAGGCAGCCGCCGCACTCTCTGCCTGAGGAACGTCTTGAATTGCCTGACCGCCTGGAGCTTGGCCTTCTTCTCACCGGGCAGCACCAAGCCCTCGTCTGTGCCCGCTCGGACCATCTCGCGAATGGTTTCCTCTGATGGCAAATGCAGGCCGATCTTGACCTGAAATGGAAAGGGAAGGCCAGAAGTTCACAGGTTTAGGGCTTGATGCTGACAACCAAACCAATTCACAGGGCTCTGCGCAGACAAACACTTAAACGCATGTGGCCACATGACAAAGGGTTACAAAAACGAGGACCAACAGAAGTTAGTTGTAATTTCACTTCAGCCCAAGGCGCTGCCCGGACTGAGATACGGTCCAACTTGTCCACGAAGCTCGTGCTCTGATCGGCCAAAACTTCGCAGTCCTGCCTCGAGAAGTAGGGGTTGAAGTGCCGGCATGTTTGGTTCGGCCGGCGCTGCTGGGACTTCCCTGGCATGTCCTTGTCGATGGCCTCACTGACCGCCAGCTGAAGGTCTTCTTTCTGCTTCGAAGTCCAAGGCCCCTTGGAGATCAAGTCTGACAGCTGACCAACCATGTCCATCTCAACACCCGTGTTCATGAATCGCTCTACCATACTCTCAGCTTGCTTTTGCTGGAGGTCTTCGTACCGTTCCTTGCTCAGATTCTTCTTCGAGCTGTTGAGGAACTGGGTGATCTGCTCAACATGATTGAGCGTGCGTGCATTCACGTTCGACATGGGGCCTTGTCCCTTGAGGCGTGAGTCACTTGAGGTTGGAACACTCAGTGCACATCACACGCGAGCTCACAACCCAGCATGTTGGGGAGTGCATAGCAATCCAACCCAACTTTCAGACAAAAAGCAATCGATGCAAAGTCGAGATTGGTATGGTAGTTTGGAAAATACATATCTCAGCAAACTTAGCAAAGTGACAAACACAAGAAGCTAGCGCGCTGCCAAAAAACACGTCCAAATCTCTTTCCTAGCGGCGTGCTCACAGTTCAACAAAAACCTCAAAACTATGGCGCTTGCTACCTAACCTAGCTATTGCATGAGACGGGCCAAGCCTTCCTTCGAGACTGGCAAGAATTGCAGCTCAGAGATCCACCATCCCTTGGGCTGCTTCCCAAACTTCCTGCGCTTGATCTCAGGCTCATACCTTGGCTTGGGGTGGAACACAGTGTCGAAGGCGTTGATGACCTGGTTTGATTTGGAAGTGGTGAGGGCCAACTGTGTGTACTCTGTGCACACGCCATCTGAAACGAGCTTCTCTCGAAGAGCGCTGCACAAGTCGTGGCCTCTGATGGCCTCACCCTCATTCCACATGATCATGGCGCACAGCTCCTCCCCCGTAAAACTGTTCAAAGCCTGGAAGGCAACCCCCTGGTCCAACAAGGATGCGTAGATGGACAACTGCTTGCGTCCAGCCTCCACCCTTCGCACCAAGACCTCGTCGGTGAACTTCTGGGAACGAAACAGCCACAGCTTGTCATTCCTCCCTTGAAGGTGAACAGGGAAAAGGCCGCCTGAGCCAAGTCCCATGCCCAAGTACAATGTCTTGGCGCCATCGTGCATCCTCTTCTCCTGACCCACAGGTAAGCGCCTCCATTCGAGTTGGTCCAAGTCCACGTAGAGGAGGTCAGCAACCGTGTCGGCGCGAACGTAGGCTGCTTCAAAGACACACGCGACCATTGTCACCAACTGTGAACAAAAGCAGTGAGCACGAAAAAAAGTCTGAGAGCTCAAACTGCCAGAGACAACAACGCGATCGAATACTTTTGCACAGCCCTCTGACGACTGCTTTGCGTGTCACGCACATGGGTTGATCACATATCGAAACATGGTCCTAGGACACTGCTGAAAAATGTTGTTTTCTTTCTTCCCACAATTACAGCAGCCACGCAAAACACTTGTTCCATTCTATCATTCTATCACAATCAGTTTGTCAATGTGTTTTAGGAGATGAAATCCATGAAGCCCCGTGAGACAATTTCCAAGGAATGCCGTGAGACTGCCGAAGCGCCATCACATCTTCAATGTGGGAATCCCTTTGGACAATGACAAATTCGTAGACTGTCCGGGACATGGATACAAATGAGGCGATGGAAAATAGCGGTCAACTCACGGGAGGCGTGATTCAAAACCTTGCGGAGTGAATCAAAGCCTTATGCGGAGTTAAATGTCAGCAGGTCAACGACTCAAAGTACACTGGCAATGAACACGTGAACAAACACATGCAAAGCTTTGTCCCTGCTAGCATGGCCGGGAATGGGAAACAGAACTGCAATGGAATTGAAGTGTTCGACAGCCATGAAGGCTATGAAGGTGATGAAGAAGCCTGCAAAGAATGCAATGAAGGTCAAGAAGACATCGCCTTCTGCTTTTGATCCAGTGGCGGCTCGCTGGGAGAAAGACATGGATGAGGTGTACATTGAATACCAGGAGCTGAAGTCCCACAATGCCAGCTTTGGCGTGGGTGCTGGCGCATCGTGGCGCGAGTGCCATGTCCATGTCAATGTATGTTTCTGTTTTTGTATCATCCATATAGGCAGCCACGTGGATCAGCAAAGGCATTCATGGGTTTAGTTTTGTGTTGTAGATCCGGTTGAGGTATTGGATCCATCACATGAAGGACCGTGGGTGGTGTCCACTCAACGTGCGACGACCGTGTGCATCCGTGAGTGGATGGATCTTGCAAACTGAGTTCCAGTGAGACGTGAGATTGCGCTTCTTCCCTTGGATGGAAAAGGTAATCGTGTGAGCCATTCTCTGCCATGGCCTTTACGATGTGAGAGATGTGCGCTTTGGACGATGTGAAATTTCAGCTTGAGCTCTCACAAGTCAACATAGTCGACTAGTTTGGCAACAAGACTCTTGAACAAACAACATTCACATGGCCCTCTTGAACTTAGCAAACTGACAAGCACAAGAAGCACCGTTGACAGTGTGACTTACTAAAAGGCGTCACGGTTGTTTGCATAGTGTTTGCAAGTGTTTGCATATAGTGTTTGGCATGCTGCGGCTGAAAACTATCCATGACATCATGTGCACGTTTGTATATATCAGTCTCTCCTATACTATGGAGGAACTTGCCACTTTCAAAAACAAGTGCCAAGTCAGGAAGAACATTGAACAAAGAAGAAACACTTCATGCTTGAACTTCCACAAGCCATGCCAACCTTGTTCAACATACGAAGGGGGTCCTGGAACTCGCCGTGGATTCTGGGGTGTGCCTGTTCAACCTCAGGACAGGGTCAGACTCAACCTATGTTCAACCTATTAGCCTGGAGCATGCAAGCAGACCATGCAAGCAAACAGTACAATGCAACTAGACCATGCAGCTACACCATGCAAGAACATCGCCCATGTCATCATCAGGCAATACGGAAGCGAGCCCAATGTCCCAACCTCCCTCAAACAAGCGATCCGGCTTCGCTGGCGCAAGCAAGCCTTGCCACCATACTGCAGACAAGGCCCCACAACCCCAGTCTTTTCAGTCATACGGCAGGCAGTCACCTTGGATGCGTGGGAATGGCGTGGGGGGCCGTATCGGACGCACGAAACACCAACACAAAACATGTATGCTTGTAGTCCTCAGCACGGTGTCTTGTTTGTGGTCTCTTCATGTCTCTTCATCGGGCCGTCTCATCAAAGGGGCAAAGGACAACATGCATGGAACGCGAGCTTGTGTGGGTACAAAGAGGACCTAATTTGGGGTCTAAAGTATATGGGGGACTGGATGCTTTGGGCCTGTTGAGTTTAGTTCATTTGACACACCCACACAGCCCAGCCTTCATTCACGCACAAACCACAAGCAAGCAACCTATATAATAGGGGAGCAGCCACCAGGAAACATGTGTATATGCTCGTGGCCCTCAGCAAGGTGTCTCGTTTGCGGTCTCTTCATGTCTCTTCATCAGGCCGTCTCATCAAAGGGGCAAAGGGCAACATGCATGGAACGCGAGCTTGTGTGGGTACAAAGAGGACCCTGATTGGAGTCTAAAGCATGGGGGGCCGGATCTTTGTTAACCTGTTGAGTTTAGTTCATTTGACGCACCCACACAGCACAGCATTCATTCACGCACAAACCACAAGCAAGCAGCCTAATAGGAAAGCGCAAAGCCACCAGGAAGCATATGTGATTGTGGCCCTCAGCAAGGTGTCCCGTTTGTGGTCTCATGTCTCTTCATTCATCAGGCCGTCTCATCAAAGGTGTAAAGTACAACATGCATGGAACGCGAGCTTGTGTGGGTACAAACCTTGAGTGGGGGGGTCTAAAGCATGGGGGGCCGGATGTGTTGGGCCTGTTGAGTAGTTCATTTGACACGCCCACACAGCACAGCATTCATTCACACACAAAACGCAAACAAGAAATACAATCCAACGTGACCATTGTTCTATATCAACATGCACGTACACCAAGGGCTTTTACTCCATGGCAAGCGACGTGGAAGCGAGCCCAAGTCCCAACCTCCCTCCGATTCAAAGGACACCGCACGGCTAAATGCAGACAAGGCCCCATCCAGT